GGGAAAGAGAACTTTGGTTGGACTTATAATTTACATGCCCAACAAGGAAAGACTAAGGAAAAATTATGACAAAAAGTCACAAAGAATGTCCAATATTTTGTTGTGTGAAGCACAATTTCATGTTCAGTAATAACAAATAAGGGAACACCCTCGTGATCAAAATCAAATGGTCATACTTTAACTACTCTATTAAAGATCTGGCGTTACTCCAGTAAAATTTGCATGTTTCTTACTAGACTGTACAGCAAAGTGAAATTTATGTTTCCAAAGACAGTTTGGTACCTACGGTAGACGTTAATCATATGCAATACTAGAGATCAAAAGTGTAAGAAAACTGTCTTTTATCAGAACGAGTATGAAATTCTAGTCATAGTTCTTAATCGTGAGATTAAGAAATAGGTGGAAATAGACTTTTCTCAGTGACAACACCAGAAACTAAGATCAGAAATACCACTTGGTTTTCCGCGCATCATGCATGTCAAAGATAACACGTTAAATAAAGTTGACAAGAAACCAAAAGTGTTGAATAAACACACCCTAAAACCACGAAATCAAATATACCTGACGTCCATGGGCCGAAAATAATTCAATTTTAATAATCTCCAGCTTGTAAAACGTAGCTCCATTTGGTGTGATTTCATCCTTCTCCAATTCTTCTTCCCAAGTTGAACTATCCTTGGAAGATTCTGATTCAGATTCGTGACCATTAATTCTAATAGGATCTTCTGATCCACCTTCTACAGGTTTTCCAACCTGATTTAATTCAGCATTGCTGCTTTGTTGGTTCGATAGATGCTTTCGAATGACAGAATGTTCTTCAATAAAAGCAGGTCTTACAACGCCTTGAATAGCCAAACTGGCAGGAGGCTGCTCCATCCAATCTATAGGATTATCTGAAACAACCTAAATCATGAAGACAAATGAAAAGAAGAACTCTAAGTTGGCTTATTATAATTGTTAACAGAAAGTGATATAAACAGTTAATATTTCGAGTATGCAACAATAGAAAGTATATAACATATAATGCCCTTCAATCAAAAAAATAAACAATCATGTCAAATCTTCCCGGAATTATTCTACGTCCCATCACAGAGCCAATAATTTAAAAATAGGCAAATACCTCTGCAAGTTTTTGGGCAAAATACATAGGATGAGAAGAACGCATAGTCTCTAACTTAGCCCAGTCTCCAAGTGCTTCATCTTCATCTTCTTCATCATCTTCATCTTCAAGAACAGCGACCCAATCCTGTAAATGAAACTCTAACAAGTCATGGGAATGATTTTATGGCGAAATTCAAGAGAAAAATATGTTATAGAGAAAACACAAAATAAAAAAGAAGAAAGAAAAGAAATCAGACCTCATCATAATCATCGTTCTCATCATCTTCCTCATCATCCTCATCTTCAACATCACTATCTTCTTCTTCAATCTCATCAATTCCAAAATCAATTTCTGATGGACCTGATAATTCCATCTCACGGATCATTTCCGTAGTGTCCAAGCCTATAATAACTTGCTGCATATAGTACATATAGGACCAAAGCCATCAAAAACAGAATTACAAACAAGGGTTGTCTAAGTACACCCGTGATGAGAAAAATCCATTAAAGAAAAAGTTTGCATTTTGTATGAATCAATGCACATTCCATACCACAAAGTTATTTTCCGAAGATAGAGCTTGCATGGTATCTTCACCATCCTTCACTTGAAAATATATATCTGTAACACACTTAACAAATTAACATTTCAATAAGAAAGACTAGGCTACAAAGCCCAACATAAAAGAAAGCAAAGAGGGCATTTACTACCACTAGTAGTAAGTAGTAACAAAACAAACTCTAATCACTTCACTTACTTCCATGTTCATCAGTTACATAAGGCATCTCTGGCCAGATGATATTTTCATGGACTTGATCATTGACCAAATTTGAAAACATGACTGTCGCCTTGCTGTTTACCTGAACAAGAAAACTCATGCACCATTAACTTAAAAAAAATATATAATAAAAAATAAAAAAAAAATAATAATAATCTGGAATAAACAACTGCAGAATCACATCTAAAGGTTGAAACCATGACTAAACTTTTGGGCACGACCTCCTTATTAAGTACTTTCTCAATGGCTTGTCACATATTGGGGAACAAAAAATAAATTTCAACTGACTAAGTTTAAGACTAACCATATGAAGAAACGTAATAATGGTTATTCACAAATGAAGACATGCACATTCTAATTTCTTCTTTGGAAATTACTTTCGCTGAACAGCAAGTGAATGGAATGCGATAGTACCTTGATAATTGTCCTGGCAGTTTCTTCAGATGTGAGTGTAGCCTCTCCACCATTCTCTGATGTTGATTTAGCAAACTCCTCAAATGGATGATATTGTGGCTTCCCATTCTTCTTTATAGGATCTGAACCTGGTCCTAAATGCTTTGCAGATGCTCGAATCCGATTCTTTATAAGATTGCACCTTCTGAAAGAACCACTGTTTGCACTTCGAAATCTATTCCTGCATAAATAAGAACAATCTATTCCACATATTAATCCTTAAATCATAAATATCCAATCTTAACAACCACCTCTAAATTAATTCAAAATATTTCAACTCCGATAAAATCAGTTTTCATTGCCCCTTCCAATTCACATCCAATTCTAGACTGAAAACCATTTGAATACAGCGTTAGGCTAGGCTTAGCTGGGTGGAATAGTGCTTATTTCCCAGTAAACCTCTGTTCAATTTCCTTCAAAGATTATAAATTTTGTTGTTTCGACCAAACAAAGCAAAACAAAACCAAAAATTAATCAAATTTGGATTCAATGTCAACATAGAACTCACAATTAATCTCCAATACTAACTGTATAAAAATGAAGTCTTTAGCATTTTTCACATGGAATTCAATAACGACTTCACACATTCTTCTGAGCTGAACTCAGAGTTTATTCAAATGTCAAGTTCTTTTCTTTTTCCTTTTCTTCTCGGATTCTAAGAATACACCAAAAAACCTCAAATATTTCTCCAGAATTTTCCCAAAAACCTAACAAACGGCAACAAAATCAAATCAGTCTTCAGTTCAGTACCACGGCACGTCGAATCCGCAGGCGTGAGAAATCCGGCAAGAGCTGACGTGGACAACTCCAGACAAGTCCTCCGAACTCCACATTGGACGATAATCTACAACCACAAAAAAAAAAAAAAAATCGAAAAGCAGCATCAGAAAACCGGTAAAGCTCGAGAAAATAAACGGAAAAGCGAAAAGCTAGAATCTTTGGAGCTTATTTCCAAGGCGGCAGGAGTTAGTTAGTTAATTAGTTACAGAGGTTGGTTGCGGCGGCGGAGAAGCGGAGGGTCACGGTGGAGTCGATCATCATCGTCGTTTAGTGAGGAGAAGGAGAATGAGAAGGAGAAGAAGAAGAGTATTATTGTTTTTTATGCTCTATTTTTTTTTTTTTTCCCCCTCTCCGTAAGATCCAAAAAGCATATACTCCTCGCTGAACGTTGTGTTTTGAAAGGAGGGCGTATGGAAGGAAAGGATGAGGTGCTCTTCGGCTCCGTGTGGTTTTGGATTCTCTCTAATTACAATACAATCCAGTTCCTAGATGCGGGCCATGTTGCGTGGTCCAATCATCAAACCCATTTTGTTTCTTTTTCCTTTTTTTTTTTTTCAAAATTTCCAAATTTATACCTACGTTCCAATAAAATATTGGGGTCAGAGTCCATGTTCATGGTTGGTGATATAATTCTTGTCCACAAAAAATGAAATGAATACTTCAGCAAAATTAAAAGGACTTTCTCACCTATTTTTTTTTTTAAAAAAATAATCAGAGTGTCCCCTATTAAAAAAAATTAAAAGACTACCGGTACAAATTACTCCTAAATATAAATTGTTGTTTCCCCTGCCCCTGTTAACAAAAAGTTACCTATAGTTTGCTGCCGTTTGAGTTCAAAAACGACCACTCATTTGTCGTTCAAAATTTTCTGTCGTTTAAGTATAAACAACCAGTTTTTTTTTCGTAAATACAAAATTTAAAATAAAAAAAAAAAAAAAAAAAAAAAAAAAACTAGAGAAAACTTTTAGGATATGTTCGTTTCGTGAGCAAACAAGTACACCAGAGAACTTTTTGAATGCGAATGTGAATTAGTTGGACATACAAACGACGTCAAATTTGGAGATAGAAAATGTACGCTAAAACGAGACATTATTCATTTCACCGATTTGAGTTTTCAATTTTAGATTTATACAGTTAAAAACTCTCAAAAAATGTCACATCTCAGCTCTAATTGAAAATTTGAATCCGCAAAATGAACAAGACCTAAGTAACTTTACAACGACATGTCGGCTCCTGAGATACGTAACTTTCAAAACAAAAAACATGGTTGAGTTTTTTCTTAAAAGCTACTTTTAGCTTCTTAAGTCTAAAAGTTGCTTCTGAAAGTGTTTATATGATATGTTAAGAGTGTTTTGACTCTTTAAAAGAGTTTCCAGTTAAAGTAAAAAATTATAGTTTTTTAAAAAAATACTTCTGAATAGACTTTAAAACTTGTATCAGAATTTAATTAAGACATTATATACTTAATTCTAATACTTTTATTGTTTATTAAAAAATTTAAAAATCATTTTGATTCAATAAACTCTTTGTTCTAAACACATTCTGAAAAGCACTAGCTTTTGATTTTCTTCTTCTAAACTCTGCCAAACGGCCACTTAAGAACATCTTTGTGTATGAAAAACGACGACAACTTCTACTCAAAAGAAAAAAACGACAACAACCTTAATCAGTAAATCCTATATCTCTGTCACCACTATCGGTTGCTTGGTTCAAGCCACGCTCTGCTAATTCTTCTTCTTCTTCTTCCTCAGAGAGTAAAATCTTTGTTTTTCCCCAAGAAATCCTCTTCTTTCTCAGAGGACGACGAGCTTTGGCACGGGGGAGGAGGAAGAGAGAAAACGTAAGGGCCTTTTTTTAGGGTAAAAGAAATCCTCTTCTTTTATGAATTTGTCCTGCTAAACAAATTTTTTTTTTTTTTTTTTTTTTTTTTTTTTTTTTTTTTTTTTTTTATATCAATCAACCTACCCCGTTCTTCGTTTCTGGAAACCATGAAATTGGTTTGAGAAGGGGAAAAACGGAGGATATGGGAAAGTTCAGTTCATTGCAAATGTGTTGAAATCTTGTTCCCTTTTTTTTTTTCAAGAATTTTGGAATTAAGTAGCTTTCTTATCTCTTCGTCTCTATAGTCATGCTAAAAATTTCTTTTTTTCTTTTTTTGTCTTTTTGTGTGTGTGTTTAAAATCTGTTGTTGATTTGACACAGATTTTTCAGGATGCTTGCATTGAGATGCTTTCCTCCTGTTATTAGAGGACTTGAATCACTCCAAATTGCCAGGAGTAAAACCAGAAGCAGTGTAGTGGTAAGCTTGTTTCATCAAAATGAACCACAAATATATGTGTGTGTATTTGTGCTGTAGAAGTTCTCTGTACCTATAAATATGTTTTTTCTATCACATTTGGAAGAACAGAAAGACTGAATGCAGAACCTGAGCATTTTTTTTTTAATTTTTAATATGAAAAAGTATTGGTAAATTTGAAGGTATGTGCTGCAAAAGGCCCCAGACCAAGATATGCCCGAGTGTGGAAAACCAACAAAAGGATCGGAACTGTTTCCAAATCGGCAAAGTTTGTTCAAAGTGTAAGCTTTCCCCCTCCCCCCCCCCCCCCCCCCCCCCCCTCCTCT